AGCTATGCTTCCTAAATGACTTTGGATAAGCCCAGAAAATGTACAGCTCACAATGAAGATTGAATTTCCTTCAGCAGTTTTCCCATCTGCTTTGTGTATTTAATTTTCCTTGTGTTTTGCAAAGCATTTCTGCTTATAAATGAAAGCTCCCTTCTGAAAATGGCTTCTGTTATCTTAATAACTGATTTTTATCAACTGTATCACTGAGATGATCTGTTGTGCAGGAATAGACTAGAAGACCTGGGGAGTCAATTAGGCTGAAAACTGAAGAGCATCACAACGCCCAGCTCTCTGCTCTGATAGGGTGCTTCTGGATCATTAGCACTATCATGGCTGATGCTTACTCTTTCCCCAGCTCCACAATTCAGGAAGATTCCTCTACCTAGGCAGGGCAGCCTGATTGTTATGTGAGTAGTTGGCTTCACTTGGGTAACATGGAGAGGGAAAATTATGTTCCCAGAAATCAGATATGGCTCATTAGCCATTTTCCTTAATAATATTTGTCTCTTTCTGAGTTTGAAAGATTGTATCCCAGATCACACAGGTGGCAAACTGGGACTTGATTCTAGATTTTTCTGAGCTTGCAACCCATGCTTTCACCTGTGATGGCAGACTGTCTTTTGGGACCTTCAGGGTCCCTGTCATGAAGCCCAATCCTACTTTCATGGTTGGCAAATTCTTCTGCCTGCTTGGAGTGTATGCCTCTCCCTGCTAGGTCAGCCAGCCCTACCCGCTTCTTCTCTCTCAATGCTCTCTAACAACCAAGTTCATGTTTCTCTAGTGGTGGCTATCCTGCGATGACTACAGGTTCTTTGTCTTCTGGCCCTGTAGCTAACCCTTAATAGGGTATCTTTTTAACCTTAAATTCAGTATACTTAAAACTGAGAGCATCATGTATCCATCAGATAGATGTTTTTTATTGTCTCTTATTTTTGCAGCTCTCTTTGTGTTTGTGACACTATTATCCCCCCTTCTATCTGTCCTTAGACATGCTGGGTAAGAACTCTAATGCTTAAACCTCATTAGAATCATGGACATGCTTTTGGCTCATTTAGCTTTTAAAACCAACACAGGTTGATTATTTGGCATTTTGGGGGATATAGCTGAATGTTACCTATGAGCCCACCACAATAGACAAATCTGAGGGTGCAACTTAACAAATCTACAAGACTGTAGCTGATTTATTACAGTTAAGATTCAATAGTGCCTCTCAAGCTTTTGCAGAGAGAGATTTATTTCAATTTTGAATTGCTTTAAAAACTCACATTAAAAAGATATATTTTAAAATCTGACTGAGTCATTGAACAGCTGTAATATAGCATCTGCTTCTGCCTGGGGTTGCAGCCAGAGAAGAAGTGGTCTCTTGGCCTTCACACACTGATAATTATTTCTCTTCTCTGTGTTCCCTACTGCTCAGTGAGTGGGTTGCCAGAAATACTTCAGCTTCCAGAGTAGAGATGTGGATTCTTCAACCACAGGCAATGGTCAAACCCTCCCTGAATTGAATTAGCATAGTTAAACAACTTTCCCTACTGAATTTAAAGTGGGAATCACATTACTACTAGTCTCATATGGTTGTTATGAAGATTAAATATATGTGAAAACTTTCAGAGCAAGTGTGAGGACATCATGAGTCACTCCATAAATATTAGATATTATTATATTATTATTCTTAGTTATTTATAAATAAGAACTAATAGGAGATAGGGATGAGATACTGAGGATATATTGATTCTCATCTCCCATATTAACCCCATAAGGGCTCAGTAAAATAATATTTAAGTGTCTTATTTTAATAATAATGATTAAAATGATGGTTTGCATGGATATGGTGTTTTTCTATGCCTTATTCTACTTTTTTCCACCAAGTATGCTGTACAAAGGATGCACATTATTAGTTTTAAGAGCAAATTATTTTAATGTGTATGAGTTTGAGAAAATGTGACTAGAACATCAAGTTTATGACTTCTTGATCATCATTGCTCAGTATGAAGCTGAAATATTTCAAAATCTGTAAGCCAAAAGTATGTTTGTGTGCATATATATAAATTATATATATATATGTGTGTGTGTGTGTGTGTGTGTGTAAAAATAGTGTAAACATATAGATGTGTATGATATGGCAAAATTTTTATAGGAACACAGTTTTATTTCATTTTATCCTCAATTTTGTGAGGCAGGCATTATTATTATTCTCCCCATTTAATATATTAAGAGATTGGGGTTCAAAAAGGATCATCATTTTCATTCTCTTACCTATTGGTCAGCTAAGTCTTTGCTGCATCTGAGATGTTTCCTCACTTTCCTTCTCAGGAAAGCTTTATTCTTCCCAAAATTTTCATTAACTTATGTTTACCTTCCTAAAAAGTTAAGATATATTTGTTACAAATCTTTTTTTAATGGAAGAAAATTTTACCGGACTAAGAGCCCTCAACATGGTCTATCCTTTTAACAAAAATCTTAAATATACAATAGGTATTTATTTACTAAAGGCACATTTTTGAACAGCAAATCTCCTCTTATTTTTCTTATCACAGCTCTATGAGAAAGATGGGCCAAACAAGGAAACTGAGAGAGGTTACAAAATTGATTGGAGTCCCATAACAAAAGCACAGGCATGGCAGACCCTTGGCTTTCAGACTCCTTCCTCTAAACCATAATGTATCACAGCACAGGCTCTGAAAAGCTGCCCCTGCCTTTGGAAGAAAAAATAATTTGACTCCAGGGGGAATCTTCCAGACCCCTCCCCATTAGGAGCAGGGTCTGGAAGTGGTGGCCTGTGCTGTTTTCCTAGGAGGGTAACAGCGCTGGCTCTGAATTTACATTTGCCTCTTTTAACCAGAGAGCTCAGTGGTTCTGTCTACATAAATGCACACACTGATCCAGATGCCAGCTGATTTAATTAAACCCCTTCTCAACTCAAATAGTGAGTTTGGACAAAAAACTGAAGCTTTACCAAATTACCAGTTTGGGTTTCTGTGGCTTTTCAACTGGTTGCTTCTGGGATCTTTCTGGCTCCCAGATTCCTTCAGTAGTGAATTGAAGGGAAAGGGAGATTAGGATATTAATTAGACAGTACTGGTAAATTATGTAAGTGCCCATCGAAAGCAGTTTCACCTAAATGGAGGTATACAGTCACTATTGCAATACAGTTCAAAAAAAAGCCATTCAAAGTGATCTGTGATTCTGTGAAGTTGTGTCTTAGGACTCTGTGGGTTTTATAAATTGAACTCTTTTCGAAGCTCTACTTCATGGTCTTGTGGCTAGGAACCCAAGGGCTTCCTTTTGGACATTATAAAATGACAACAACAGACTTATGTTAATTTGGGCCCCAGGAACAAAGCTGAGGCGAACAGTTGAAGGTGTCAGAACTTATTCCATTTCAATTAAAAACATGCTGATCCCAGGTGCTTGCTAAAGATTATTTTCTTCTCCATTATTATCAGAACGTAATTCCAAGAAATAAGCAACATGAATAAAATATATTTCTTCCTAGAGCCTGATGGTTTAAGGGAAGGATGTGGTAGGATGTTCTGGAGGATTCTGAAGGTGACTGTATTGTATGTGCCAAGACTTATCGGATAGTAGGTCTTGTTCCTATAATTCATCATGGCTCCTGCCCAGCCTCAGTGCAGGAGCTTTATCACCTGGGTCCACTCTGCCTTCACTATCCTCAGCTGCTGACAAAAGTGCTGTCAGCGAACTTCAGAGGTACAATGGAAAGTATTGTCTACCCTTCCAGTGTACAACCAACCAGGAGGGAAGCTAACCGAAAACACATCAGGACTAATCAGACCTTTGATGTTACACAAAGCAAATTGCATTTCAAGCTCTAGAGAATCAGGAGTCATTCTAAATCTGATTAAGATTCATCCGGTAACAAATTGTGATAAATGTTTGTTTTGGAAAAGTGAATTGTCAGTATTTTCTGATTCTGCTTATTCGCTCAGAAAATCTGTTTTCCACTTTCTTTACAGAAGTAGGCATTACAAAAAAACTTGAGTTGTCCTGACTTGTCTGCTAGGGAAAATCGAGAAGTTCATTTGGGCTGCCTCCAGGGCTCTAGGTGAAGAGTCTTTTATCCAGGTCCTGAGGATCCTTCACTGACACATCTCACTTCCTACCCTCCATAGCACAGGTGTACTCACCTTCAAGACTGACCCTGAGGTGGGGAGCTAATGGGCTAACTTAAAAGAATGGCCATTGCAAGAATTCAGGCACAGGGTTGGCTAGCTGGGGAGAGAACTTTTTTTTTTTTTTTTGAGGACTTGTTTCCATTTTATTTTGTCTGAAATAAAATGTTACATATGATTTCAAGAAAGGAAATAGAACCATTCCTAATCCTACCATGTTTTGCAGTTACTTCATAACTGCTTTGATCTTTTGAAACATTTATTTGTACACATATATGTGAAATGAAACCATTACTGCTTAGTTGTGACACCTGTGATTTCCGTTTAGCATATTCTGAACATCATTCCATGTTGATGAGCAAAGATCTTCATAATTTTTGAGGACTGTTGGATAATTTTCACTTTGGGGACTCCCATTCCCTCTCTTCCTTTTTTGTTTTCTTCCTTTCTACTTTCTTTGCTGGCAATTTTATTATCCCTTTTATTCTTCATAATCTATAATCTTTTGCTACAGTTCAATTTCATTCTCTTTTTGTTCACCCTCATACTTTGTCATATATCTTCCAACATATGCAAATACTATGAAATAAATTTTTTTTGTAGTTTTGGGTTATGCTGACTGAATAACTCATATTGAAATGTTTCCTTTTTTATTGTTGTTGGCGGCTTTGTCATATTTTCTCCCCGTGTTCTGTGAGGGGAAAAAAAAAACATGACAGTATTTTGAAAGCTTTTCATATCCCCAGAAGGAAGAAATGACAAAGAGGCAAGCCATTATAATGAATGTTTATGATCTTTATTTAGGAACATGACAGTTTCAAGCCCTCTGTCACTTTTAAGTGTTGATCAATTATCTTGTTTCCCCAGACCCCATGCCAGTCCACAAAGATGGGCAGAATGAAGCCGACAGCACACCAGAAGACCTCCAGTCTGTCGGGACCAGCAGGCTGCTTTATCACATCACTGATGGTGACAATCCACTGCTGTCGCCACGATGCTCCATCTTTAGCCAAAGCCAGAGATTCAATTTAGACCCTGAGTCAGCCCCTTCTCCACCCAGCACTCAGCAGTTCATGATGTAAGAAAATCTTGGTTTATAATAGTCTTCATTTCATACAGTTTTTCAAATACCACATTTACAAATGAACTATTGTGCCTCTGGAATAGTGCAAACAACCTGAAAAAATGCAACTGTGAGATCTGAATGATAAAGCTAAAATTGGCGTACTTTCTAGTTGAGATTCCTGTTTCAGGACTTAATCCCTAAGGAGGAAATGGTTATGAGAGACAAGCTAATCAGGAGCATGCAGGTTTTAAAAGATTTTGGTGAAATTACCAGAATCCTAATCCTATGAGTGTTCTAGTATAAGGAATATCATTCTCAATTAGTGCAATATATTTTCCTTGTCAAACAGTGGTGTAAATGGACGGATTATAGAAACATTACATAATTTGCCACCTCAATTTCTTAGACTCTAGAAAAGTGGTAACTTATAATTGGTGTTCCCCAAAATTAGATGTAGATATCTAAATAGATATATTTCCCTCAATCCACTCCATTTGGAATTTATATTTGGCATTGGAATAAAAGAATAATATATGTTATTTATTTGGGGGTTTCATAAATCCTTTTGATGTATAACTAAAACTGAGAATCCCTTGGCTGAAAATATGCCCAGGAAATCCTAAATTTTTCCCCCATAACTCATTCTTTAATTGATCTAAACTGGGTCCTTTGACTATCTACTTGAATTTGAGGGAGTTAGTGATTATTACTATAGCATGTAAAATATGTGTCATGTGAGGGTGTACACATTTTCTGGGAAGGAGACCCATTTTTTTCATCATATTTGAAAATATTTGTTTTTTTATGTCAACAAAGTTAAACACTAATATAAATCTTTTGAAATTGTTGATAAGAGTGGCTAATGTAACCTATTGAAGATAACACCTCAATATGGGTGTCTCTTCTGAGCCTTAAATTGGCCTCTATCAATTTTAAGAAATGTGTTTCCTGGACTAATATTCTGACATTTTGTCTACTAAAGACCCTGAGGACATTTGCTCATAATGCAGTTCTGTTATCAGGGCTATTAATGAGCAGATGGTTGACTCATCAAATTATGAACTGCACTCTAGACTTCTCTGATAATGTTGGTTTGTAGAACAAGCAGCAGTTTTTACCGGGGTACCATTGTTTCTCATGCTCTTTCCCTCCTTCTAATCATGGCAGGCCCCGAAGTTCTTCTCGGTGTAGCTGTGGTGATGGCAAGGAGCCACAGACCATTACCCAGCTCACCAAGCACATCCAGAGCCTCAAGCGGAAAATTCGGAAATTTGAAGAGAAATTTGAACAAGAAAAGAAATACCGGGTAAGCACCTTAGGATTTAGCATGAGAACAGATTGTGTTATGCTGAGGTATGTGGACCTTCCTGAGTCTCTGTCCTTCCTATTTGGGTACCCCTCTTTGTCAGGGGACAGTTCTGTTCCCACTGGCCAATCTAGGTCTTGTTGATGAGTTCCCATCTTGACTCTGTCTTGTTCTCATATGCTGCCAGTTATCTCCTCTAAGATACTTCCCAGTGATGGATTTTAACTCTCATTTCTGAACTTTAGTATTCATCCCCCTCTCTGCTACTGTTCTCTTTTTTTTTCCCTAAGGAATCTTACTATCACTAGATTATCTAGGACCAAAATTTGGAAAGCTTTTGAAGTATAGTCTTTTTTTTTTCTTTAACCTTTTTCTATTTGCATTGTGATAATAACCTATTATGTACTTGAAGGGCAGACTCTCTAAGGGTGCAGCACAATGAGAGGGAGATGGGTTTAGTATTTCCTGGTTGTCCAGTGGAGACTTCTCAAGTGAGATCTTTTCAGGCCCCTCATAAGAACAAACTTGAACCATCATTTCCAATCAGACACCAGTCTTCATGCTGGTAGTATAGTGCTATAAAAACAAGTCTTGTCTCTTCTCAATAAGAAACAACAAAAGCCATAGGTAAGCATCTTGATGGCCAATGCTGCTTTTGTTTTCTCTCATGGTGACCATGACATAGAGAAAAATCATATTCATGCAGAATTGCATAAAGATATTGGGTCTTTGGAAGAAGGCCCAGAATAGCTTATTATTAAAATAAATTTCTCATACATCTTGAAATATTTAAAGCTCACTAAGCACTTGGTACAGAGGCAAGTGGAACTGTGAGTATAAGTTCTGGGGAGGGAGCTAAGAATAGGTAAGATTCCACTCTTCTGTTCAACTTGTCCTGTGTGGCCTCAAATTCACTAAAAGAGAAGTTTTAAGGAGTGATTTTTAGTTTCGCAAAAATAAAAAAATTTAAAAATTAGAAAAAAGAAAAAAACTGGCTTTCAAGATAACCTCAGTCACTTTGTGGCAAATCCTTCTCTCCTCCAAAGTCAGGCAGTCACAGCTACTTGCTATATTTTTTTAATGGAGCAGGAGGGAACGCTAAACCTTCTCCCCCCCACACACAAAGATAGGGAAATTGAGGCCCAGTGAAGATTTATAAATCGCCTAAAGTATTTGTGTTCTATCAGCTGAGCTTGGAGTAGTGAATTAAAGATGAGTGGGCTTTGTAATTTAGGAGTAGAAGTAAAATTCTCAAGTGTCTATATTTTACTTTTTCTGTTTTGTTTTGTTTTGTTTTGTTTTGTTTTGTTTTTGTGGGTCTGATGCATAAACCCAGGGTCAACATGCTAGGCAAGTGTTCTTTCACTGAGTTACATCCACGACCCCTCAAGTATCCATATATGGAAAGGTCCAGATATCCCAAGAGAAGCCGATTTCACCTGTTTGCTGCTGGAGTGTTATTGGATCTTTGATTTCCTCACATCGGACTCTGTAGAGTAACAACTAGGGGGTCCATTCCCGGGCCTGTTGACTCTTCTGGATTTGAATCCAGCCAGACACTAAGAAATTTGCAACTTTGGACTTGTTACTTCACACTTGAGTCTCAGTTTGTCCATCTGTAAAGTTGAGTTATCAATTGTAACTTAAGTTTAAGGGTATTAAAATGAGTCAACACATGTATAATGTTTATTATAGTATTTGCATAAAGGGAGTGGTTCTAGATTTTGTTAACTATTTAATCAGTTTGAGCAGTCTGTGCCTTGTCAGAAAATGAAGGGAAATTGTACACATTAAATCTTCCCTGGATTTTTCTACCTGCAGCCACAGATCCTGAATTATTTCCCTTGACTATAGCAATCATCCACAAGTTGTCTATTTTGGAACAGAAATTCTCTAAGCATCTCCTGCTTTTGTTTAGAGAAAGTTTAAAGAGGATAGACACACCTAAGTACTTATGCACAAGGATGGATGCAGAAGCAGGAGAAGGAGGAAGAGGTTCAAGGTCACCATTCTTATTCTGTCTATAACTCTTTGATGTAATTAGATCCTTAGATGTTCTAGGAAATAGGGCTTTCCCTTGCCCTTTCTGTCAGGATGCCAGGCTATGGTTAGAAGTTTGATATGTTAGTAGGATTTAATTGGTTGCTGTGTATAAGACTTTCCTTCCTGGCATCCTGACTATGGAATTAATAGCACCCACTGTTAATTTTTGAATCCAAGCTCTTGCTGGGCTTTGGTGCTACTCCGATGTCTGGGTATGACATACGTTTTTCCATCTCTATTGAATGTAACTATCTCATATTTCTATTCAAAACTGTACTTATTTTCTACAACTTGACTTTGCATTTGATGATCAGGCTTATGGGTTTAGAAAAGGCTACTGCCACCAGATGTCTGCTTTCAATGGAAACAGAAAATGTTAGAACTGGAAGGATCAGCTCATCAATTTTCTTATCAGAAGATTGAAGAAATTGAGACCCGGGAGGTGAATTTCCAAGAATCACACAGCAAAGAATTGATCTAGTCAAGAAGATATCACAGGTCTTTTCATTATCAATCCATAAGTCCCAAAGATGGTTTATGAACCATCTTTGGCAGACCACAAAACTTCTCCAATGATATCCCCAGTAATGTGGTTTGGGTGTCCCATTTTAATTGTATTGAACGAAGCCAAATCTCTGTAAATTCCAGTATATGATTGTTAGTGTCTATTAAGTCAGATTATTTCAGTTCTAAAGTTAGAAGAATTAAAGATCCACACTAGTATATGAAAACTTTTATGTCACATGAGTGCTGCCATCCATGTGAGCTTAATTTAACATCTTTTAAAAGTTACCCAAAGGGCAAAGGAATAAGAAATTCATTTCTGAACTGATTTCAGGCTTTAAATTACTTTGCTGGAAAATTGAGCCTTAAATTTCTTTTAAGTCTAATGTGCAGTAGTAAAAGCTCATTTTGTTGTTGGTCAATGGCTTAGGATTTTTGTTTTTGTTTTTACTGTATTTCAAAAGATGGAATTAACAGTATGGAGCAGATCCAGTTAAGCACTGTTCAACAAGATAGTTCTTAGACTGAAATGGAGGATTCTCTGAAGATTCTGAGAAAGCAAATGCTTTAAAACATTGACTGACTGTATAACCAGACTGCTACCCAAAGCCAAAATGCTAGACTGTATGCCAGGGAACTAGTACAGAACATCATTCTGCAGACCCTAGGTAGGATTACATTAAGCTGCTTTGGGGGACAGATTAGTGACCCATGTGGCACTGTCCATGATCCTAAATTTAGGGCCCCTTTATGGAAATCAGTCTTCTATTCAAGCTGCCTTAGGAAAGAATCATCCTTCATCAACTTCTTTCCTTTTCTTTCCATCTTGATTTTAAAATGTGAGGCTTTTATCACTTGAATTGACAGAACCATGCCATTTGTGTCACAAGTGAACAAATGTCCCATGTATATTTGATCTTGTCATAAAAGTACTGTTTTGTCCTTTAAACTTAAAAGGAATGTGTTCTCTATCTTCTTATACCTGGATTTGGGGGATCATTAAAGAAACATGACAGCTCTAAATTTATTCACTAACAATACACACATTTCACACAATAATGTTTATTATCATCCTTTTTGAGCATTATTATATAGTTCTTTATATATCCTTAGTTTAGAGTATCCATTTGATCCACCTAAGCCCACAACTAAGTAATTGTGGAGGCCTTGGATTATTTAAGAATGCTCCTTACTAATCTGTGGGGGTAGAGGGTATGTTTGGCTCCTCGTCATTCCTACTTTCTTTTCTGTAGAAAGTCCACTTTTGTGTTCTGAGAAGGAATCCAGAAATCAAGTAAGTGATTTGTATTGACAAAAGATTATTCCTTTTAAAATGTTCTTAATACCACATCTAAGATGTGATTGGCTACTTGTAGGACCTACATACCCCTCCATGTGTATTTGCCAGTGAAAACATTCGGTATTCCTTTGAAGGTTTAGTGGAAATACTACTACTATCACTGCTGCTACTGAAAATAAAACCAGTAATTGCAGCTAACTCTATAGTGTTTGGCGTGCATCTGGAATTGTTTTCTGTGCTTTATCAATATTAACTCCTTGCATCAACCCTACAAGGGAGACACTGTTATAATTCTTATTCAATACATGAGGCCATGAAGAACAGAGAAGCTAAATAATTTGCCCAAGGTCACACATATATGATTTTCACGTTAATGTTAGCCTCATTAGGATATTAAGGTTAGAAATATAGCTACCCTCCCTGACAGTTGGACTTCTCCTGACTATTGTCAAGTTTTAGACCCTGGGATCTTCTTTCTTCAGCTTGGAGGATATGGCAGATAAGAGCCAAACTCCCAGTTTGTCAGTATCTTCCATCGGGTTAGGGTCACAAGCCATGTATGTGAGCCATAGGCAAGATAATAAGAAATGGTCTGTATTATCATCTGCACTGATACAGAGAATGACCAGGCAACATTGTATGTGGTACAGGAGGCCTCACAGGTGATATGTGGGTTAGAAAGAAGGGGGGCAATGGCATGGTTAGAACTATGAACATGCTGGGTGGCCAGGCATGTTTAGAAATGTGTCCATGTCAAGGGTGAGTGAATGGAAGAGGTCGAGAACATGTGCTGTTTTCCAGAAGCACCTCCATCAGCTGGAATTTTCATGCCTGGATGTCTCTCCCAGGTTTTTATGTTCTTGAACTATCTTCATGTAGCTCAGCTGTCTAAAATTTTTGTTCTACTTTTCTCTCTCCCTCCCTCCCTTCTTAATTCCCTTCCACCTTCCCTTTTCTCCCCTTCGGTAGCCTTCACACGGAGACAAGACTTCTAATCCTGAAGTCCTGAAATGGATGAATGATTTGGCTAAAGGTCGTAAACAGCTCAAAGGTAAATGCCATCCAAAGGTCTCTTTTCTCAGAAGCAGATAAAATAGTATAAAGTGCTGCAGGATATTTTTTATTCATTTCCACCTGTGCCTTGAACTTAGTTTACCACTTAGATAGGAGGCCCTATTTGAAATAAAGAGTCCTCAATCTCCTTTGCTGTTCAGCCCTACTTGGTAAACCTCCTTACAGAGACTGGGGACCTCCAGCCTCCTAGTGGAATGATTCATTTTAATGCTAGGAACATTTCAACCTGTGAAGCTATAACCTCCCTGGTTATTGGATTCTTAGATGATAGAAACAGCATCTAATACATAATAATGAGAATTTATTCTATATGCCCAGTTGCATAGATGAGCATGTTTATCCCCAGAAAGGTCACACAGCTTGGAGATGGTAAAACAGAGCTAAGACTTGGTTCTCCTGTGTCCTAGTTCAGTGCTTGTCTTTATTTATCCCTCTCTGGAGATGATGGTGTATTAATTAGCTCTAAAATACATTGAAGCAGGACTATCATTATTTACCAATAATTTTTTCTTCTTACCTCCGCATCCCAATTTCATTTCTTAGACATGGGAGTGTTTCCAAATTTCTGGAAGGATAGTGATTAAGAAGTAGAAGGGAATTCATTGGTATTAAACTATAATGATGTAGCATATTTAGAAGATGTGCAGATTTTAAACACAAAACTAGTATCACTAAAATTTTATTCACTAACAATACACACATTCCAAAAAATAAACATCAAAGAAAACAAGCTATATAATTGAGAAATCAATATAAATGGCCTCATTAAAACCACCAGTTCCCTAACATATTCTGAAATGCGATTCCCTAAAAAGTCCCTGGTGGCTTTTTAATTTTTAATTATATAAGTTTATAAAAAGCCACATTGCAATAACAGTGGTTCCTGGATTTTGAAACATGGACTTCAACAAATTTGTAAAATATGTCAATCTGGGGCTGGCATTCCCATTTTCCCCTTTCCTATACTTGCCTGCATTTCCTTGGGTATCTACAAATGTAATGCCCTCTAAATGAACTAATATTCCCACAGAAGCTACCCTGATGAACACACGACTTTCAAAATTTACATCAGCAAATCTTTGGGTATAGAATTCAGGTGCTATAAGTAGGTAACAGGTGGGAACTCTGGGATCAGGTACCAATGATCTTCCTCCAGAATTCTGCTGAAGTCTACACCAGAGTTACTACTACATATTATCCTCCGCTTCATGAGGACCCAGCTGTTGGGGCTCACTGTTTTTACATTTGTTTGGGTGCTTGTGAAATTAATCATGGTTATTAGGGCTGCCCTTACCACATGGAAAGCTATCATTAGCATTGTTCATTTCTACCAATATGGCATCCAGTAAGGGAATTCCTGAAGGGTTCTACATTCTGATTAGGGATAGTGAGTCCTCTTCCTCATGGTAACTCATGATCTTTCTCTTAGAATTAAAGCTGAAGCTGTCTGAAGAACAGAGGAGTGCTCCCAAAGGTCCACCTAGAAATCTGTCCTGTGAGCAACCCACGGTCCCCAGAGAAAATGGGAAGCCAGAAGCTGCAGGCCCTGAGCCAAGCTCCTCTGGAGAGGAAACTTTAGATGCTGTGTTGACATGCCTGAAGGAGAAGAGAGAGCACCTTCCTCCACAGGAGGATTTTAAGGTACCTGACCATATCATCATGGGGCCCCAACATTCCACATAGTGCCAGTAAGATCATCCTGTTTACCAATTTATCAGAGCACTTTGCCACCATAGACATCTTTAGGCGACTGGCTCCAAACTTTCAGTCAGATGATTTCTGGTGGGTTACTGGCTGTGACCTCTGGGCATTGCCCAGTGATTGAAAGATATACTGCTGTTTGTGAGGTTATAGTTTTGTATGGAGGGTAGAAATTGGCAAAGACATGGGATATATCATCCCTTTCTCAACTAATTTCCTTCCCTTACAAATTGGCAAATGAACTCAAGACTGGGGAATTAGTATATTGTCTGAAAGGACAGAGATCCAGTTATAGTCCCTTCCCCATATGTTAAAATATAATAAAGCAGGGATGAGGCATAAATAGCAATGAAAGTGTTTTGGTATTTTATGTAATAAGGACAGAGAGATAGGGTTTCTTTGGAAGTGTTAAGTTAGAACTAAAGACTTCAGATAAATTGGTCTAATTTTATCTGAAGTCTTTAGTCGAATTCTTTAGACAAATTAATTTTGAAATCTCAAGACAACTGGACGGAGTTACTGCTAGACATTAGGCTATATGATCCTGGAGCTTAAGGAAAAGTCTTATTGTAATTAACAAAGAAGAAAATGATTAGCATTTACCTGGTTAATCCCTCATCATCCTTCTTATCATTGTTTCCATTTCAGTTGTGACAGGGAAGCTTTCCTGTGGTTCTTCTGTATCAACTGGCATGGTTGCGTTTTAGCTCCTGACTAAGAGTTGAAGCTATCCTGTCATAGCTTCATGTCTTTTGCTATACCTACACTTTAAACTTCTTACATTCTTCATGATCCCTTAGTGTCTATACATAGTAGGTATCAAATACATGTTTGTTGAATAAACGGACAAATGGACAGGAACAAACTAGCACATTTATCTTCAGTATGAAGTCTTCTTGAGGAGAATGATGCTTTTATCTATTGTATTGTACTTAATCTGGTATTCATAAGGTGGTAACATATATCAAATCCCAGGAGGCTCACAGTTAGCCCCTGGGTTAGTCCTTTACATTGGAACTTTGTGATCTACAAATAGAAATTGAGCTGTGGTCACTTCCATCTTCATGAAATACACTGTTGTTGTTTTAAGTCTAAAGATATGTTGTGAGTAGTGAATAGTTTTTCATTTGTGTAGCCAATCTATTCCATCTCCCATCAATGATGCCAGACTTTTGTAATAATATCTATGGATAATATCTGTGTATACAAACACACCCACCCAGATAAATCTATGATTTTCTAGGGATCTCTCCTATATTTCATAGTTACCTTGACCATATTTACAACAGCATTTTGGTCAATACCTAAATCCTAATTCTAAATTCTACTCAATTAGGGCAGTGAGGGTAGTGTTGGGTTGGTATAGAATACTAGACTAGGTTTTAGTGCTTAACTAACCACTTGCTAATCATGTTCACTTAGCAAGTGAACTAATTCTGAGATTTAACTTCCTCATATGCAAAATACAGATAACACTGATATAATTATTGTGACAATAAAAGAAATGCCTTGTGACTGGTACACAACCATTCATTTGCAAAAAGATGCTAGGTATAAAAAATAAGGGAAGTCATAGTGGGGTTTGCTGCCCTCTTGGAGTTCAAGTTTAAGAATTATATATAAGTGGTATACAAGATATGAACAAAATCAATAAGGAGTTTGGTAAGTACTGTGCATGAAATTAAACAAGTGAAATGATAGAAAATAATGGGTATGGTTTCTTCTTCTGCTAGGGTGATTAGGAAGGCTAAGAACATGACATTTTTAGGCCAAGAGGGGATGAATAATATTCTTGAAAAAATTGGAAGTATAAAGTTCTTAAGGAAGGAAGAGCTTCTTGTATTCTTGGAATTCACAGGTCTGAGGGCTAGAACACAGGATGGAGTGAGATGAGAGGCATGAGATGAGATCAAAAAGGTAGATGGGAACCCATCAAACAGAATCTTTTAGGCTATGAAAAGAATTAATTTGCCAAATGATCATAAGCAGAAAAGTGATGTGAGATGAATCATATTTAAGAGATCTTTCTGATTGCTGGCTGAATCATGGGGGAAAAGTGAAAATGGGAAGATGGAATTAATGGCTTCATTAGCATAGTGGCACTGGAGATGGACAGAAGTGAACATATTCAAAGTATATTTTGGTTGGAAACAAAAAGAACTTGATAAAGCATTGGATAAGAGAAAGAGGAGGAAAGGATGGATCCTGAATGGTGATGAGTCCATTTACTGGCATGAGAAAACTAAGGAACAGGGCTGGAGTCAGTGGAGTGCTTCCCATGCGTGAAATCCTGGGTTCAATCCTCAGTGACACATGAAAATAAATAAATAAAAATAAAGGTATAAAAAAGAAAACTATGGAACAGATTTTGGATTGGGGATGAAAACTTAAAGGATTCTGTATAGGACACATTAAACTTAAGATCATTCAAGAATAGAATAACCAACCATCCTGGGAAATGTCTCAGTACTAAGCAAAATGAGATGGTGATTCATCCTTCTGAGGCATCTAAGTCAAATAGGCACATGCAAATGAATTCTGAAGATTAAACAAAAATCTCTGAGTGCTTCAGGAGTTATCCTTATATAAATGGCAGTTATTTCTATTACTCTAAATAAATATATTGTTAGAAGCCCCTTCAAATAAATATAGTAGCCCTATAGTAAGTGAAAGTTTGAGGCCTCTAGCTAGAGAATCTAAAGTTAACTATGTAAACTTACATACTCAGTATTATTCCTGAGAGAGCAAGACACAGTATACCATGTTGTGGCTAGTCAGCTGTAAGATGAGTCCTCAGGGTGAGTCCAGAGGCTACAAGCATGTCTCTAAGGCAATATTATATATTTCCAAAGCAGCCATTCTTATTTCTGTTTCCTCAATAAACTCAGCAACATTTCACATCATCTCATTAGGTTCCATTTCTTCAAACTCAAAATGCCAGATGTCTTTCATCTGGGATCCTTCCTTGCCTGATTGCTAAAATTACATTAAATATTAAAAATTTTAAAATGAAGAATGATTTCTTTTCTGGAAACACTTTAATTCTTTTTCTCAATTTTTTGTATTATTTTATATGACTAGAGTCAGAGCACCCGCTGATGCTGATAATTCCTACAGTATTGCCGTCTTGATTCAGATATCAGCTAATGAGTAATTTCCTTCTTTTTTTTTAGCTATGGATATTTTTTAAAAATTTCACTTCTGCACACAGGGCATTGTAGTACACCAGAAATTAATAATTCTACTTCCTTCCTAATTCTATACATTGCTAGCTCCCTATAGTATGTAAGATGTATCTAACTTTTAATTTTTGTTATGTGAATGGAGGAAACCATGTTGAGTAATCTAAAACGGCCAAATAGAGTTATCCAGAGTACAAATGGATGTGTTATTTTCAAGGTAAGTATAAGCAGATAAACCACAAAGGATAATTATACTTACTTCCTACATTTTTATAGTAGAAGGGTTAAAATTAAGAGGAGACTGAAGAAAGAACTTGTATAAACTTAATATGATCTATTTTGTTGATAGCTCAACAACTTTGCCTTACAAAAGCTCCTAGCCTCCTATTGCAGTAGATAATTCAGTTATCAAAGACTGGTAGAATAGCCTAAAATCGAGATGGCTTTCCTAGAGGGAAACACTATTTAGTGGTCAGCCCAGATATTTCTTGCTGGGTCCTGATCAGAAAGTTGGAAACATATCTGCCATAATTCTAGTACATTTACTAGTGTACTTATTTTCCTTCCTTCCCATGGAACTGATGCCAGGTATTCTTATTCAGAAAACCATAGGAATTTATAAACAAAATAATTCCTAATAATCCTCATAAAGGAGCTTTATCTTAAAAGTCAGAAGGAAAACTGACATTCTCCTCTCTGAACAGTGAATGATAGAAAATTTACTCTTTAGCTTTATGAATCAAGTCCTGCCAAGATTTCTCTTTGTCTAAGAAAGACATCTGAGCTGGTCACTGAACCCTCATGTTTCTCTTTGGGGATTATTTCAGTAATGATCCTAAAAGTAAACTTATGGAGTTATTAGAGTAAAAGGTGAGTACATACATTGTATGTGTTACTCTAGTTTTAACCTTTAATTTTTTTCAAATGGCATTTATCATTCTAACTTTTTGGTGACTCTTGTTGCATTTAGGATCAATTTTAGCTTTTTTAGAATGGGTAATATACTAAGCCTAAAATCACAAAAATCAAATTTCAAAAGAGAAGCCAATAATAGATACATAATTTTCTTAAGTGTTTTCTATAGAAAAAAAAATATATATATATATATAAAATCCCAAATGAGATAGCTAAAAGCATTATTTCAATATTTTTTGAACTTAAAGATTGAGATTTTTTTCCTCCTCTGTCACCTCTTAAAATACCATGGAGTGCAGTTTGGTAGACTTTCTTTTTTTCATGGAAAGGTGTGTTATCACTAAGAAAATGTTTATGGAGGGACTGGGCTAGAAAATTAAAGCCTTTAGGAGTTATTTAACCCATGCTTAAGAGGCTTATACAGAGAGGTGATCTCTCTTTCTACTGAAAAATAAAGAAAAATGCAAGAAGTTAGGTTATAACTTGTGAAATATATATGAAAAAGAACTCTATATACAAAAAGGAATCTAATTTTAAACTTATGTTGACAGTATGGTAGTAGGGGCTGTGTTGTTTCAGGTACTGAGAGAACTTAAAAGAATTATGTGATGTGATCTAGGCCCCCCGAGAAACTTTGATTTGGGGAGATAAGCCTGAAACAGAAAACAGTTAAGGAAACAGTTAAGATAGAGAAGTTCAAAGAAAAGAAGATTAATATGGGCTAGAATGGTTTGTAATTTGAATGGGCAGACAGTATTCTAACTGGGAAGCTTAACTCATGGTTAAGCCATTTTCTTTTCCCTCAAGAGTCTCTTTCAAAGCTCTACAAGACTGCTGTTTGGCAGTCTGTCATGTGTACTTTGATTAAAAGATATCTGAATGCTTATACTTTGAGCTATTTCTATCACTCCCTTTTCACTACCTGCTGGTGCAAACCAATGGCATAGAATGAAAAGGAGGCTGTGTATAGTGGACATGTAGTAAGTAAATGAGGATACAAAGGAGAAAAATCAAGGCAAATAAAGGAGTGAAGTAGACAGAAAAAAATGATACCTATTTAAAATTTTATATACAATGTGACTTGTGGACAGTAGTGCCTAGGGATGAGTCAGATGTAGATGGGTACAAGAATCCATTAGAATACCAAGAAACTATGGAATTTCTTAGTTGAAAGTAACTTTGGATAATCAATTGAGAATACTTCACTATTTTCAGACTGGTCTAGAAGAGACTTTGTATCTGTAACCTCTTTGTTGTGTAGGTAGGAAACAGAGTTCAAGGAAGTAAATTGTTTTGTTCAAAATAACTTAGTTTAGTATCAGAGCTAACCAGTAAGCTAGTATATAATCATGAGGAAGACCTTCATACAGTTCATGTTTGTGATATAATCATTAAAGTCCAGATTAAATAGATATTTCAGAAGAAAAAAATTAATGTATTATTTATTCTTTAAAAAAGTGATTAAGTTCTTAAAGAAGTTTCATACTATTTATGCTTTGCAGACACTTTCAGAAAGCTTTTAAAAACCATCTTTCTAGACTTAGACCTATTCTTTAAGAGACCTTTCCTAGAAAAAATTGACCTCTTACTACATACAGTATTTTATAACTTCCCCTTTTCTAATTAGTATTGTATTTCAGAAATAAAATCTTTTACTTTGAGGCTTCGAGACTTTTATTTTTGGTCAAGAAAATTGACATGTTTTTAATCTTGCATGAAAAAGGAAAAATAATTTTGTTTTTCAGGTAACTAAGCAAGACAAGAACCTCATAAAGCCTCTTTATGATCGATACAGAATTATCAAGCAAATCTTGTCAACGCCTTCCCTTATTCCAACAATTGTAAGTCAGGATAACTATATTAACTGAAAACTTGTACTGGTGCTCTACTGTATTGATGTTTAGTTGGCACTGTCATAGCTAGCACTATTAGAATTGTGAAGCAGTCCTCTTGACCATATACACCACTGACACCATTGCTGTTACTTCAAAAACAGGAATGTCATCTTCTCTAGACTCAATATTATGACTAATAGAGATATTATGCAGCAGGAATATATAACACTTATATATTTGAATCCAGTTCTAATGTCTGCTTTCATTACTTTGGATGAAGAGAAAAAAATGATAAATTTCAGTTTGGCATAATCTCATTTATAATACAGCTAGACAAACCAGAGCCTCTCTATTTTGCATGTATTGGTTAATTTTTCTCCTTTAATAAGAAAATTGACAGTATATTCCTTCATACAGTGCAACATTTGTTATTGTACAATTTGACTACACTATCTGAGTATATTTACTTTAATAGAAAATAGGAGTACTGACAATTGACTAGGTTTAATAAAGAATGATATACGGGAATACAAAACTAAAAAAGCACTACAAATCCTACTTCATTAATATCAAAATAGCCACTTGGTCAAGATGTCAGTATAAAAAAGATTAAGTGTTTACAAATATAAATTTTAGTATACTTGAGTACATTTACAAAGAAAATAAGAAAATAATAATTTATAGTCTTTAAGTTATGTTTCCTCAATGGGAAAACTTTAAAGTGGAATTTTCAGATTTCTCTACAAGAAAATCATTTGGTTGTGATAGTTATCAGAATATGTTAAGGAGGAAACCCACTTTACTTTGGTCTTCAAAGGGCTCTTCTTTGAATTCATCAATTTTTTAAGTGTCCTTTGTATCTGACCCACACTGGGCCCTGACTTGGAATATTTCTGAATGGCAAAGTGTCTGTAGACCATTTCATCCTAACTCCTCTCACTGGTGTGAAGCTGGAGCCCAGGTATAGGTAAAAGGGAGGAACTATTTGGCAGTACAGTACAGTCCAGACTGGGTCACATCCTATCTGTGACTTCTCTGGCCAAGGAAATACGAATGAACTTGGTAAGTGTTTTAGCTTAGCATGCATGCCTTTTTGCTCTTTAACTTTTCCAGGTTTCTAATGCAAATGAGAAAGTTCTTGTTTGCTTCCAATTCCAGTTCTCAGTGAGCACATGGGTCACCTATGGGTTTTCATGGTGTCTATTTGTGGTTCCCCTTCCCATTTTTGCATTCTCAAGAGGCAGCATTTTGTGACTTTCTTCATTTAACTTTGCCTATGACAAGCAGGAAGAAGAAGACTCTGATGAAGATTGTCCACAGGGAAGCCAACAACATTCTTTACCAGATCCAGCATCTTGCCTTCCTGTCAGTGACCCCCTCACCTATTCTAATGAAACTGAGCCTATTAGGGCCCTGCCACCTGATGAAAAGAAGGAAGTAAAACAACCAGCCCTCTCCATGTCCAATTTACATGAAGCAACCATGTGAGTATGAATCCTAAGTACAGAGTCTTTAAACTTCTGGTTTGAGGTACCTTATTCATGCTTAGAAAGTTTATAATGACTATTAGGTCTCTCTAAAAGGAACTGTCCTGCAGAGAGTAGCCCTAAAAGCCTAATCTGATTGTCCTCTTAATTGGAAAATCTAGAAGACCAAAGTTATGAGGAACCACAGCTCTCAGTAAAGTTCTGAAGATGCCATAAATGTTAATATTCAATTTGCTTTAATCAGGCCTCTATTTAGCAGGCTTCTGGCAACAGTGTAACCCTTGGCTGTGTGTGAATCAGAGCTGGCCTTTGAAGATGCTGGACCCAAAGGAGTTAAGATCCTGTTTGGGGCAACAAATATCAAAGTCTATATTCTAGCTTATTACTGGAAAATCCATCTCATCTAAATGTAGGAATCCCCTAGCTTTAAGTAAATAAGTTGTTCTTTGTCTCCTAATGGATCTTCAGTCAGGAGCTATTTGTATTTTCATTAATATTATCATTACTTTTAGTAGCTGGCATTTTCTTGATCATTTGTCCTTCTTTCATTTATACATTACAGTCCAGATTATGAGATTTTCTTAAACACATTATATAGCTTGGTGAGTTTCTATATGCAAATTAGGATGAGGTAAGACCAAGAACCAAAATAAAAAATGAAGTTTTAATTTGTTTGGAAGTAGAAAAATCTTTTGTGTATGTGATTGTTTTTAAAGAAAATGCCCACATATAATTCCAGAATCTCCAGATTCTCTGAAACCATATATAAGTTCTAGAATAAAAGAAAAACTTGCCATGGAACTACAGCTTTCTTCTGGGTCTTAGTTTCATTCCAAAGGGTTTTATCATCCTAACCACACTCCAGATTAAGGAAAGAATTTTCTTTAAGATCATTTCCTCCTTTGTCTTTTGTTCAGTCTATCATCCAACTGCAGATGACTATTCCTTCAAACTGTCTATTCCATGCCCTCATCACACATCACCATTGATTTCACCATTTCTTACAATGGACTCAATCCACTTGCCTCTTTTTCTGCCTTTTCTCCTTTCCCATATTTCAATTAGGTAATTTCCCATGCTTTTGGGTTGCCCTATAGTTAGTGCCATACTTACTCAAGAGACTCTTATGATTCAAACACTTTTCAGTCATAATATATTTATTTTTGCTGAACAGATAAGTCTGCCCATGATATCTCAATTATGTCAGTGCTCATTAGTGGCAAATATATATTTTACCTGATACAGGCCTGTACTTCTTGATCATCTTCGAGAAACTAGGGCTGACAAGAAGAGATTGCGAAAAGCCCTAAGAGAATTTGAAGAACAGTTTTTTAAACAAACAGGAAGGTAAGTATGGGCAGATTTTTTAAATTTTTTACATTTTCCCAGATAACTGTTGTTCAAAATAAGCTATAATGTTTTGCAGACCAGTGAAACTATACAAAATATAAATAACTTCCATACCAACTTAGACTTGGAATTTTTCTAATTTAACATTCCAATAGGGCTGTTATTAGGTATGTTTTATGGGAAACTGTAGCTTTCAAGTATGACAACAAGCTTTAAGAAATTAACAATGTGCAGTGGCACATGCTTATAATCCCAACAGCTTGTGAGGCTGAGGCAGGAGGATTGCAAGTTCAAAACCAGCCTCAACAACTTAGAAAAATCCTGTTTCTAAGTAAAAATATAAAACAAGGTTGGGGATGTGTCTTAGTGGTTGAGCACCCATAGGTTTAATCCCTGATACAAAAAAAAATGAACTCTAAAAAAATAAATCTCTAACTTGGCATAACCTTACTATATTGAACTTAAATTTAACTTTTAAAAACACCTACTTGATTTTTCAGCTCATATAACTTCTTTGTTCTTGGTTCTAAAAGCTCTACTTATTTAATAACAATTCTTTCTTTACTTTAAATATCTTCTTTAAACTCCAGGATGTGCCCCCTGATTATTGTTTCAAGGATTGGTCAAAAGATCATATCCAGTCTTTCTATCCCTTAATAATTAGCTATCTCCTCTACCTATCCTCTATTTTTATGTCTCAACCTAAGTCATCTTATACATTTCATTAGTGTCTCTTAATTTTTAGTTTATCACCAACAAAATTACATATATGTAATCAGGAGATGTTACTGCTCTACTTCTGGAAGAGATGGGGACAAATCACATAGCTAATCTGAGAGCCTCAGCTTCTACTTTTATAAGCTGAAATGATTTGACTCCTGAGATCATTTAAGAAGTTACAAATGTCATAAGAGCATAACTGTCCCAAAAGCAAAAAGTTATTAAATGAGAGAGAGAGAGATTTAAGTATTTGGGGGGGGGGTTTAGACCATAAGCATTATAGTCAGTGATACATTATTTCCTTGGTATTCCTCCCCATCTAGGTATTTGTTTTTTCTGAACTGTTTTCAGATTCAGCAGCCTGGGAGTTTCCCTGATGAAGGGACTATTTTCCAAACACACCTTGAAACATTAAAGCTTGGTCTACTTACCTTTAGTTCTTGTCAGCTTTTCCATTTCAGTTCATCAGAGAGCTATTCACTAGGAGTGGACCTATTAAGTGAGAAACTTTTTGCATTCAGAATATATGAGTAATTCACTCAAGTGTTTCATCTGAAATCGTTCTTGCCAGTGAATTGCTACAAGTCTAACTTATTTTTCTGCTTTTGTTAACTATTTGAGAAATGTTATGTGTTAAATTTAGATGATTTGTTTTCTTCTATAAAACATTCATGCAACTTTCCCTTCAAAACATTTCTTGGAATAGTGACTTTGTCTGGGCTGTCTTCTCTATTATGCTTTGCAAATGCAGGTGACTTGTATTAAAAACTTTGATCTATGTCTTTTTAAAGGCATCCTGTGTGAATTTTTCATTTGGGGAATTATCAAGGAAGATGTTTTTGTAACCTAAATACAAATAGTCACTGCATGACTAAATAGTCTATAAACAGTTATAAAGTGGGTTCACTTTAAGATGTTCATACATTCTTTTCATAACTTTGAATTCCTAAAATAAATTTACATTTTTACCTGTTTGAACCCAGTATTCTAATTTGAAGAGTCAGAAAATTCCCAAGGTCTTGGTAGTCCTGCCCTAGTGGATTTACAGTGCTATACCGCATGCCCTTTGACATACTGGAAGTTTAATTTTTTGTGTTTTACATACAGCATTCTATTGTATCTTGGAGTCCTAAACCCACTTCCGATATACCTATATTTGGTTATGAAGTTGCATGCCCCCTTGTGGTGACAGCATTTCATCTAAATATACAAGTGGTAATTTATTACAATTAAAATCAAAACAGTTGAATGTCTAAGAAATATGAACTGTAATTTTGTTTTCCTACAGTATTTTATTGGGAAGGCCTAACCATCCATAAAGTAAAATAACAATGCAAATGATGACTAAAAGTTTTATGGCGCCATAAAAGTTCTCAGTAATAGTATATTACATATGTATAAAAATTTATGCATTGTTACATATCCCAGTAGAATTAGTGTGAAGAGAACAAATTCAATTTGGACAGATAAATTACTTCACTCAATGAACAGCTTAGTGATTCTACTACACATTAGCAGAGACGGGCGTTATAAGAAAACTTGGGAGATGTTTCAAGTTTGTAACCATTGGGGGTGTATTTTCTTGTCACCACAAATTTATGAACTATTTGTGATCAGATTTCTCTAGGGTTTTCAGGTTGACAATTTTAATAACTTTAAGACTGAACATTCTGCATAGGCATTAGCCTTTGGCAAATAGTGGGGGGACAACTAGGAAAGGACTAGCCTTTGTTTTTCCTCAGAATTTTCACTTACCCTATTGTTATACAACTAAACACTAGATAGAATAACTGACATTCAAATCCTCCAAGGGAATTATTTATAAACATGGAAGAGTAAGTGAAGCTGAAGAATGGGTAAAGACTACTATGCAAAAACCAAGCGGAAGCTGCTACCTTGTACTTTCATGTATGAATTATAAAAGTATATGTAATGGGGGCTGGGGATATGGCTTAAGCGGTAGCGTGCTCGCCTAGCATGCGAGAGGCGCTGGGTTTGATCCTCAGCACCACATACAAATAAGATGAAGATGATGTGTCCACCGAAAACTAAAAAATAAATATTTAAAAAATTCTCTTAAAAAAAGTATATGTAATGACTTGGTTCACTGTAAACAAATAGATCATCTTTTCTGTTTTGCAGAAGTCCACAAAAAGAAGATAGGATACCAATGGCAGACGAGTACTATGAATACAAGCACATAAAAGCCAAACTGAGATTACTAGAGGTCCTTATCAGCAAGCAAGATGTGGCCAAAACTATTTAAGGTTCAGGAAATGTCTATGATCACTTTCACCCAAGATAAGGTCAAGTGTATTTCTCTCTACCACTCTTGCTAAGTAGTTTTGATATACTGAAAATGGAAGCACTTTAGCTGTAGTATTAGCTATTTTTAAGATGGGATAATAAGTGTAATTATATATGAGAAGGGATTTAAATGGGGGAAACATGCAACAGGTAACCATCTAACTGAGGGGGAAAAATTGAGCCTCCTCCATTCCAAGAAGAAAACTCAGTCTATATAATTATTTCAAAATGCATCCAATATTTTGTCAAATCCAAATAGTATAGTTGGGCCACATTTGATAGGGAAAATTTATTACTGTCCAAAGATTGTTTATATTGATGTATGGAAAAAAGCATGTTTGTTTTGTTTTTCCCATGAGGAAAACAAATTCTGCTTTTTGTGAAAGACAGCTAGTACAAAAAATAATTTATTTGAAATTTCTAATCAGCTTTTAAGTGATACAACATTGACTACCTTGTCCCTTAAGTATGTTAGGCTTTCAATATCCTAGAATATACTAGAGTGTGTCACTGCTAATTTTTTTATTTCTATATAAAAATAGCACATTATTTTATGTTATTTGAATTTTACATTTCTGGTTACCAAAGTTCATTCTGATAGCATGTACTTTGTGAATTATCTTTTGTCTATAACTGACAGATGTTTATATTATTAAAATTTTAAAATAGGTATTTTGGATAGATGTGTCTGCAGTATATAATCTAATGTGATCATAGTATTATTGCTAATCTTTTGTTTACAATAACTAAAAGTTATATAACTATTTTTCCATTGGGAATATGCATTTTTCTTAATGTTCCAAGGTATATACTTTGTAATGTGAAAAAATTTTCTCATGCACTGTAGTGATTCATTCTATATAAAAACAGAAGGTTTGGAAATTGTTATAACACCTTGGCAAAGAAACCAGAATATTTTATTTGCTTCATCAACATCAGTGTATATTGTTTTGTTATTTTGTACTAAATTGCTTTTTTATAAAAACAAGTAAAAGGTTGACATTTTTCCTCTCATGTACCAATCATTTCTATTTTATGTATTGTTTAAGCATGAAGAAATTCACATTTTCATATAGTTTGGATGAGAATATTGATGGTTTCAGAAGCAAACTATTTCAGAGGCTCATTTTCTCTGTATATTTCATAACTTTTATGAATGAGAATAATGTCCTTCATAAATTTGTTTAATTGAAGTCATCTACTTGTAACAGGACAAATACACAACTATTTGAGGTTTACAAATTACATCTTTGATAAGGGAAATGGTTTCGTGACATGTATACAATTGCTATTAAAATGTAACTATATATTCTATATGATTGTAAATATTTTATACAACAATACAAATAAAATATTTTTCTATTATATTTATTATGTTGAAACACAGTAGTTGTTTCCTGTTAGCTAATATAAATAACATAAATAACACTGTCAAACAACAAGTTGGAAGTGCTGACAATTCTAGGCTTCAAGATTTAACTCATGCTGCAATTACACCCTTTCATGCTGTTTGGAGTTATCCCAATATTTGTTCAGTAGATTAAAATGAATGCACATTTAAACACCATTTATAAGCCATTATTTTGTATTTTGCTAAAGCGGTCTATAATTGTTTTGTTATGTTTGGCATAAAGTAAAAATAAAAACATTGCAGCATCTAGGCAAAGTGTCAGAAGGAAAACATCATTGAAAGTAGTGGGAAAGGTGGGGAATAGGAAACACTAAAACAGCTCTGAATGAAATTTGAAAAGTGGTAGTTTACTTTTGGTGATAGCGGCATGTGCATGCTTCAGTGGAAAACATCTGATGATAAAAATGGATAACAGAGAATGGTCCTAAGGGAAGAAAAAGGGCTGAGTAAGAATAAGAAAAGTGGGCATTAACGTCCAACACTGATATTACAGGTTTTGCAGCTCGGATCTTTCTTTGCATTTGCAGTAGACAAACTCATGAGCTGATGACCAGTGATTTCTGCCACGGTGCCCAGAGAAAGATCCACAGGGTCAGTAAAAATGACTTCTAAAATGACATCCTGGGCGTGGTGGTAAACCAGCACCCCATCTTCTTCTGTACAGGTCAAAAATTTATTATCCTTGGAATTGAGTTGCGGAAGGCGCAGCTTACAAAATTCATCTCCTGGTGATCCCACAGGGGCAATAACAAGAATCACATAATGATAAGCAGTGTACATACAGTAGAAGTCCCCAAAGTATAGGTTAGTGTTGGGGTTAAAAAGTTTTTCCGCTGCAATCTCAAACCTGTATCTTCCATAAGGTGAATCCTGGGGTGGCTTCCCAGTATTGAATTCAGTGCTGCAGCTGAAGAAGATGCCTTCTAATTTTCCACTGATAGGAGAGCCATGGCTACCACTGTTATCCTTGACAGAGGGCTGCATAGCATTCCCATGGTGTTCTCTGGAAGAAAAAAAGAAATGGTAATTTTAGTATAATAGTGGTAAACTTATTGATTTATACATATCAATGATCCAGGTATAAGTCTTTTATGGCCAAAGGCCTGATTGCTTATACTACTATTAGACCAAGAGAATGCATCTTTTTCTATCCTTGAACCAAACTAAGGATGATCTACTACAAACTTGGAGATATTTGACACAATAAATTTCCTTGACAGAAAAAAAAAGGAAACCAAAAGCAAACAAGAATAGCTATTCTCATATAAAGACTTTAAATTAAAAAATGTCAAAGGAGGTCATTATATAATGAAAAAACAATCACTTTGATAAGAAGAAAATTGTAAAAATACATGTACCCCATATGGGATGACTCAAATATATAAAGCAAATATTAGATCCAAAGGGAAAGACAGATTCTAACTCAGTAATAGATGGGGACTTCAATACCCTACTTTCTACAGTGGACAGATATGACAGGAAGTCAAAAACCAAACATTTGAAATGAACCATAGTACAGAACCAATCAACCTAACAGTTACAGAAATTTCATCCAAGTGCAGCAGAATACACATTCTTATCAGTACATGGAATATTCTCCAGGATAAATCATATATAAGGCCACAAATCAAGTCTCAATAAATTTTAAGAATCTGAATTCATATCATGTATCTTCTCAGACAAGAAAACTATAAATCAATAATAGTAATGGAAAGTATGCAAATACATGGAAATTGAATAATGTGTGTTTATATGATCAAGAGGTAGAAAGAGAAAATAGAAATTAAAAGACAAAAAAAATTAAAATAATATATCAAAATATGTGGGATATAGCAAAAGCAGTAAAGGAAAGCTTACAGAAATAAATGTATACATCAAAAAACCCCCCACAAAAACAAAAAAAACAGATCTCTAATAACCTAACAGTTCACCTCAAGAACTTAAAAAAGATCAAATGAAACCCAAATTAGTAGAAATAAATAATATCAGAGCAGAAGAAAAAATAAAAACAAAAATCCCAAAAGATCAATGAAGTAGATTTTTTTTAAAAAAAAAGTATAAACAAAATTGACAAACCTTTGACTACACTAAGAAAAAAAAGAAGTCCCAAATAACTAAAACCAGAGATGGAAAAGGAGACATTACAGAAATACTAAGAACAATTATATGTAAACAAACCCCTGGGAAGCCTAGAAGCAAAGAATAAATACATCAACACATACAATCTACTAATATTGAGTTAAAAAGAAACAAAATTTAAAAAGATCACTAATGAGATAGAAGCAGTAATCAAAACTCCCATCTAAAAAATGGCCAGGGCCTTTTAATGCTGAAGAAGAACTAATTCAAATTCTTCTTAAACTATTCAAAACAAAAGGAACTTTGCCAAACTCCTTACAAGGCCAGCATTATCCTGATATCAAAATATAAAATACAAAAGAAAACTAGAGTCATATCCCTGTGAACATACATACAAAAATTCTCAATAAAATACTAGCAAACTGAATTCAATAGTACATTAAGCAGATCATATACCAGGATTAAGTGCAATTCATCCCAGGGATGCAAGGATGGTTAAACACATGCAAATTAACACGTAATAAAACACAACAGAATGAAGAAAAAAAAACATGATCATTTGAAAACATGAAAAAACATTTGAGAAGACTTAACATCTCTTCATAGTAAAAACTCTCAAGTAAGGCAAAGAAGGAATATACCTCAAAATACTAAAGGGCATATATGAAAAACCCACAGTCAATATCACTGAATGGGTAAAGCTGAAAGTGTTTCTTCAGAGATTAGGAACAAGTCAAGGTGTCCACTTTTACCACCTCTATAATACAGTAGCGGAAATCTTAGGAAGAGTAATTAGGCAAGAGAAGTAAAGGGCATCCAAATTAGAAAAGAAGAAATTAAATTATACATGTTTGTAGATGACATGATTTTATACACAGAAAAACCTAAATACTTCATCAAAAAGCTGTTAGCACATTTGAATGGATTCAATAAAGTTGCAGGATAAAAAATTAACATAGAACATGAACATTTTTATACCAATAATGAAAATGCTGAAAAAGAAATTAAGAAAGCAGTCATATTCACAACAGCTACAAAAAATTAGAAATTTAATGTAGTAAATGATCTCTATAATGAAAATTATAAAACCTTGTGAATGAAATTATAGAAGACACAAAATGGAAAAATTATACAGTGTTCATGGATTAGAATAATATTGTCAAAATGATCTTAATACCATCATAAAGGAATCTGTAGTTTCAATGTAATTTCCGTCAAAATACCAAAGCCTATTCACAGAAATAGAAGAAAAAATCCTCAAATTCACAGGGAACTACAAAAGACTCAAAGCAATCTGGAGGGAGAAACACCAATATATTATTATTATTATTTTATTATTATTATTATTATTATTATTATTATTTGTGGTGCTGAGGATTGAACCAGGGCTTTGTGTGCTATATCCCCAGTCCACCAATACCTTATTTTAAAACAATACTATTATATTAGAGTAGAAAAACAATGATCCTGGCATAAGAAAGATTCATAAACCAATAGAACAGCATTAGAGAACCCAAAAATTAATCCATGTTCATAAAGCCAACTGACTTTTGACAAAGGCACCAAGAACATATAATAAAGAAAAGACTGCCTTGCAATAAATGGTGCTGACAAAATTGTATATATACATGCTAACGAGTGAAACTAGATCCCTTCCTCACACTGTACCCCAAAATTAACTCTAAATTAATCAAAGACCTAAATGTAAAACCTGAAACTATGAAATAAGAAAATATAGGGGAAACACTTCAAAACATTGTATAGGCAATGGTTTTTCAGATAGGAACCACAAAAGCACAGGCAACAAAAGTGAAAGTAGATGGGATTATGTTAAGTTTAAGAAGTTTCTGCACAGCAAAGGACATAATCAACAGAACTGAGAAAACCTACAGAATGGGAGAGTATTTGTGAACAATTCATATGATAGGGGATTAATATCCAGGATATATAAGGAACAACAACAACAACAAAAAACCAAACTCCCCCCAAATAATCCAATTAAAATGGCAAAAGAGCTAAACAGATACTTCTCAAAAGAAAACATACAAATGGTCAATGAATATATTTTAAAAAACACTCAATCCAATTATCAGGTAAACACAAATCAAAACCACAATGTGGTATCTCACCCTACTAAGAAGGGCTATTGTCAAAAAGACAAAAACTAACAAATGCAGACAAGGGTGCAGAGAAAGGAGAAAGCTTATATACTGTTGGTGGGAATATAAACTAGTAGTCATTGCTAAAAACAGTATGCAGATTCCTCAAAAAACTCAGAACTGGTATATGATCCAGCAATTCCAATTCTGGGGACACAGCCAAAGAAGATGAAATCATTCTATCAAAAAATACTTAACACTCCCATGTATGTATGTATGTATGTATGTACGTACGTACTTTTGGAACTGGGGATTGAACGCAGGGGTGCTTTATCACTGAGCTATATCCCTAGCCCTTTTTATTTTGAGAAAGTGTCTTACTAAATTGCCCAGGCAGGTAGAGAATTTATGATCTGCGTGCCTTAGCCTCCCGAGTCAAGTCACTGGGATTACAGGCATGAACTACACCATATTCGGCCCATGTATATTTTAAAAATATTTTATATTGGTGGATTAAAATCACACATATTCATTGTTACCTATTCATATATGCACACAACATAATTTGGGCAATTTAATTTCTCAGTACCACCTCACTTTCTCCCTTTCTCTCCACAGTTGTCTTCTTCCACTCTACTGGTTTCCTTTCTGTTTTCAGATGATTCCCTTTCATACACACACTTTCACCTTTTTTTTTCTCTCTAATTTCCACAAATGAGAGAAAACATATGACCCTTAACTAAGTTTAGTTTATTTCACTTAACTTAATGTTCTCAAGTTCTATTCATTTTCCTATAAATTAAATTTTCTTCTTCATGGTGGAATAAAGCTCCATTGTGTATATAAATCACATTTTCTTTATCCATTCATCTGTTGACAGACACCTAGGCTGTTCCACAATTTTTTTGTGTGAAATATGCTATTATAACCATAGGTATGTATATATCACTATAGTATGCTCATTTTTAATTCTTTAGGATAATACCAAGGAGTGGTATACCTGGGTCACATGGTAGTTTCATTCCTGATCTTTTGAGATACCTCCATACTGATTTCTGCAGTGGTTGTACTAACTTAAGTCTCACAAACAGCATATGAATGCTCCTTTCACTGTTCCTATCCTCACTAGCATTCATTATTATTTGTAGTCTTGATGATCATCATTGTAACTAGAGATGAAATCAGTATCATTTTGATTTTCATTTTCTTAACTGCAAAAGATGTTAAACATTTTCTCATATATTTTCTGGCCTTTTGTATTTCTTCTTTTGAGAAGTGTTCATTTAGTTCCTTTGGCTATTTATAAATTATATTGTTTTTTGATGTTTTTGAGTTCTTTATATATTCTTGACATTAATCCTGTGTCAGAAGAGTAGCTAGCAGTTTCTCCCATTCTATAGGCTCTCTTTTCATGCTCTTAATCATTTCCTTTGCTGCGCATAAACAGTTTAATTTGATGGCATTCCATTTGTTAATTTCTCATATACTTCCTGAGCTTTAGAAGTCCTACTAAGGAAGTCATTGTCTATACCTATATGTTGGAGTGTTGACTCTACATTTTTTTCCCAGCGGTTGCAAAGTTTACAGTCTTATTCCTACCATTTTGATCCATTCTGAATTGACTTTTGTGCAAGGTGAGGGTTAGGGATCTAGTTTCTTTCTTCTACATATGGATATCTAGTTTTTCCAGCACAATTTGTTTAAAAGTCTGTCTTTTTCCCAACATATTTTTAGAGCCTTTGCCAAGGATCTGGAGACTATATCTGTATCATTCCCATGCTTATTGCAGCATTATTCACAAATACCTAAAATATAGTATCAATCT